TATTTAATTTTATGTTCATTCTAATAGGTAGTATTCCTTTAAAAGACTGTTGTGTAATGTAGATACATCTAAATAATTTGTGTATAAGACATTAGATATGCTGTTCCCATGTCATCATCTTATTTCATTACATGGTTACTTCAATCTTCTGCAGACACTTGATAGAAATATTTGTAATGCGATAAGTATTTTTGTCCTGATATCCCTCTAGTAATATTTACTTTATATTATTTATTTTAGACTCCATTTCCCTCAAAGATCTGGTGGTCTAACCCCAGGCCTACCAGTAACCACTGTACTAACAAAATAAACATATATATCTGTTACTATTTTCTGAATTTCCTTGGCACGACCCCCTTCTGTCAATTTGTGGTCATTGACATAGTTGAAATATACGAAATCTATGATATATTCTGTCATGGAATTACTTAAGGCTATTCAATGTTGGACAATCTTAATGAACAGAAGAATTGGAAGTTTGATTCATCCACTGTTTTAATAGCACAAGAGGTCTTGTGGATTGTAATATGTCAAAAAAATTTTCTCCATTGAATGGTTGCAGATTTTTTGGCCTTGTAAAGTGTGTTAAAAGCTGTGCTTCCCCACTTGCACTCCTTTACAAATTGACACCCCTCTTATTACTCCTCACTCGCTATAGGCAAAGTGAAAGTGCTGTATTCTTGAACCCAGGGTCACGCAGACAACTGAAATGTTTGAATCCACCAAAGATATTATCAAAGACAACTATTCAATTTTCCAAGAGGCACCAATTGATTTAGGTAATACAAAGCCTACTTTTGTAGGTGGGCCATTCTGCCATATTAATTCTTTTAGGCTCTAGATTACCCTTTACTTCATTGCCTAGGAGCAACGATATCAGTTATAGTGTACATGGTATATCACAGTTATAACATTGTTTCAGAGAAAAACAATGCTGATAATGATGGTGTAATGATAAGACAGTATCTGTACATGACCTTTATTTAGAAACCACCTGTAGCCATATTACCTAGCTCTTTACTTACCAAACATATACTGAATTCTTACTAAGTAATATTAGAGCTAATATCTCTTCAACCCACTTGATCTGACATAATACATACTATACCTCTTTAGATGCCTTTAGATACCTCTCATTACCCAATAAGGTGACTTGTAATTTTTTAATTTTCATTGATTCATTCATTTCTTGTATCTGTAACGGTTTTTTCAATGTTTTTCTGTTATTGACTCCATTTGCCAAACATGTTCTGACGTATATTGTATATTACAGTCAGAATAATGGTCTTAAATGGATAACAACAACTATCCTGGTTTTCTGTCTTCTAAGACACTAAAAAAGCAGGATTGCTACATTTGAGAAGAAGACCTACGTATTTAACATTGGTATCAACTACCCAGAAGGTATTGCAGTTGACAACCTTCTGGAATAAATTGGCTGCTGATTGATGTTGTTCCTTATGGACCAAGAAGGTCATCTTAGAAGCTACTTAGTCTGAATCTTCAACTGAATGTTTTATCACAAATAGATATAAAAGTTACTTTTAACTACAGTACTGTTACATGAAATATTTTGAAGAAAAAAAGATTCAAATAACTGATGTAAACAGCATATGTTTGAAGGTAATTAACTGTAAAGTTATTAATTATGAAATTATTAAAGGAAGTTAAAGAAGCAGATAATAAGGGTAATAAGTTGAAAGAGTTATGGTTACCTGATAATTTCAACAACATATTGGTAATGAGGTTTTACCTGTCTGGGCATTATGATAGATTACCTTCAGTTTTAAAATAAATAGATAAGCTTACTACAGATATATTACAGGGTAACTCAAGACTTTAAGTTAAAATAGAATTATTTGTGGGCGTGGGAATTTTAACTCAATTTTACTACATCACAATCTTAGATAGAATCATTTCACATTTCTTGTCATATCTAGAAAGTTTTTGGTAAACTGTTACCATTTTTTAAATTACTATTGCTTTATTTTTTAATCACAAAAGCTTAAAATTTAACATCAAAGAGCCACTCTTCTATTGATCACAACATGTAGGTTTTGTTGGCACAATGAGCATTTTGATATGACCACATTATTATCACCCAAGGTTGAACCCAAAATCAAGAAAATGAAAAAAAATGGTTTATATGTGTAATTGCCCTTGTTTTTGGAACGCATTCAAGACACTAAATTGGTGAAATTGTTTGTCCCCATGGATGAACTTTTATGGAAATATACATTAAGCTATCTTAATTCTTGAAACAGTGATGTAAATATTTATAAAACAGCATGTAGATCAGCTTGTAGATACTTCAGAAAAAACTTAATATGATTTAGACAAAAACCACATGAAAGTTGTTATGAATTCTGAGTTGTATTGTGGTATTTCTACCATCTTGTAAAGTGGTATTTTTACAACCAATTTAGAAGAAGAAGAATGTAGATTAGATGTTATTTGTTTAATTAAAGATGAAATAAATAATGTGAGAAATGTTCAATTCCTGAGAAATGTACAGGTAATAAATGAGGAATGTTACACATCAAATCATATTTGTGTTTTCTATTTACTATCTCCTCATCTCCTCTCACAGAATACCACCCAAACTCTCTATAATCTACCATTTACATCATTGTCTGTCACAGGGAAAGAGAGGCTTTCATTTTGGCATTATTTTTATTCCACAGACACAAGACATCCTTCAAATTCCATTAGAGACTTTTTTGTCATCTTAGAAAATCTGTTTTTTTTTTGTTCCCCAGTGTTCTATACATGCGTAAGTTTTTGAATGGACATGAAATTGAAAACAAATTCTTCATATTTCATTTGAAATCTATGAAATATATACAACTGCCATTTTTAAAATGTCAATCTAAATGGGAAACTTCTCAAAAAATGATTAATCATTAATATATGATTATATTAGTTCAGATTCAAAAAGTTATGAACATGAATCAAATTTCATAAATTGCTGTCGGGCTTGCATAGTGGGAAATGTTCAAAACTGCAACAGCTTAACCTGATGAAGATTTCAATTATTCACTGGAATGGCCATACCTTAACAATATCTTCATATGTAAACATGTAACCAATTAATAACGCTGAACCTGCTGTTCTGTGCTGCATCACATGTCACCATTAGTAGGTGATGCTGGTTTTTTGCGTGGCGAGACAAGGTTATAGATTTGTTGTCAATCGTAATTGATTCATATACAAGTGAATGAGATTATCATGAATCCTGCTTTGATATTAACATGGTGCTAGAATATTCCTTGATTGTTCACCTTTCTGGTATTGATAATGGGAGATAAGATTGTTAGTATGATATATATTAGTAGGATATTGATATCTGGTTTAGATAAACTCGATTAGCAATGGTCACTGGAGCATGGATTATATCAGTGACTCTCAAAGAAATCACTAAGAGAGACCAGATGAATATTTGAAATAATAATTATAAATCTTCTGGTTCAAATCATTTTCAATCAGAAATCATGAGTTTGTGTCTGTAACATCACAATATTATTATTGATGGTGTAATTTATATGCTGTTGGATTATCTACAATAAGCTTCAAGAAATATATTAGTACACTAACACTTGAAATGTCTTGATTGAGACCTCAATACATCCTATACATTCTTGTTAATGTAAAATATTTTCATATAATATTTGCTCCTATGCCTCATGTCTTATTGTTATTTCCCACTACCAAAATTATAAATTAAAATAAGTATTAAAGATTAAGCCAATACCAAGTAGAAGTTGAGGATGGAACATTTCTTGTATTATCAAGCCAAGTAAGTGGTGAAGATCAAACCAAGTAAGTGTTGAAGATCAAATCACAGTATTATCTAACAAAGTAAGTGTTGAAGATAAAACAACAATGTTATCAAACCACAGTAATATCAAACCAAGTAAGTGTTGAAGATCAAACCACAGTATTATCAAACCAACTAAGTGTTGAAGATCAAATCACAGTATTATCTAACAAAGTAAGTGTTGAAGATCAAATCACAGTATTATCTAACAAAGTAAGTGCTGAAGATAAAACAACAATGTTATCAAACCAAGTAAGTGGTGAAGATCAAACCAAGTAAGTGTTGAAGATCAAATCACAATATTATCTAACAAAGTAAGTGCTGAAGATAAAACAACAATGTTATCAAACCAAGTAAGTGGTAAAGATCAAACCAAGTAAGTGTTGAAGATCAAATCACAGTATTATCTAACAAAGTAAGTGTTGAAGATCAAACCACAGTATTATCAAACCAAGTAAGTGTTTAAGATCACACCATAGTATTATCAAACCAAGTAAGTGTTGAAGATCAAGCCAAGTAAGTGTTGACGATCAAACCACAGTATTAACAACCAAGTAAGTGTTGAAGATCAAACCATAGTATTATCTAACAAAGTAAGTGTTGAAGATCACCCCACAGTAATATCAAATCAAGTAAGTGTTGAAGATAAAACCACAGTATTATCAAACCAAGTAAGTGTTGAAGATCAAACCACAGTATTATCAAACCAAGTAAGTGTTGAAGATCACCCCACGGTATAATCAAACCAAGTAAGTGTTGAAGATAAAACCACAGTATTATCAAACCAAGTAAGTGTTGAAGATCAAACCACAGTATTATCAAACCAAGTAAGTGTTGAAGATCAAACCACAATATTATCAAATCAATTAAGTGTTGAAGATAAAACCACAGTATTATCAAACCAAGTAAGTGTTGAAGATCAAACCACAGTATTACCAAACCAAGTAAGTGTTGAAGATCAAACCACAGTATTATCAAACCAAGTAAGTGTTGAAGATCAAACCACAATATTATCAAATCAATTAAGTGTTGAAGATCAAACCACAGTATTATCAAACCAAGTAAGTGTTGAAGATCAAACCACAGTATTATCAAATCAATTAAGTGTTGAAGATAAAACCACAGTATTATCAAACAAAGTAAGTGTGAAGATAAAACCACAGTATTATCAAACCAAGTAAGTGTTGAAGATCAAACCACAATATTATCAAATCAATTAAGTGTTGAAGATAAAACCACAGTATTATCAAACCAAGTAAGTGTTGAAGATAAAACCACAGTATTATCAAACCAAGTAAGTGTTGAAGATCAAACCACAATATTATCAAATCAATTAAGTGTTGAAGATCAAACCACAATATTATCAAATCAATTAAGTGTTGAAGATAAAACCACAGTATTATCAAACCAAGTAAGTGTTGAAGATCAAACCACAATATTATCAAATCAATTAAGTGTTGAAGATCAAACCACAATATTATCAAATCAATTAAGTGTTGAAGATCAAACCACAGTATTATCAAACCAAGTAAGTGTTGAAGATCAAACCACAGTATTATCAAATCAATTAAGTGTTGAAGATAAAACCACAGTATTATCAAACCAAGTAAGTGTTGAAGATCAAACCACAGTATTATCAAACCAAGTAAGTGTTGAAGATCAAACCACAGTATTATCAAACCAATTGAGTGTTGAAGATTGAACCACAATATTATCAAATCAAGTAAGTGTTAAAGATAAAACCACAGTATTATAAAACCAAGTAATGAAGATCAAACAACAATATTATCAAACAAAGAAAGTGTTGAAGATTGAACCACAGTATTATCAAACCAAGTAATTGTTGAAAATGAAACCACAGTATTATGAAACCAAGCAAGTTCTGAAGATCAAACCACAGTATTATCAAACCAAGCAAGTTTTGGAGATCAAACCACAGTATTATCCAAGTAAAATAGTCAGTCTCTATTGTGCCTTTACATTAATAAACCTTTTGGTTTAATATGAATAAGAAAGTAGTCATTTTTCTTGACTCGTTGCGTTTGTCTCCTGCACATAAGCTCTATCCTATAAAACTAGAATTTTTATTTTACTGTCATTATATAATAGTAATATCACTGAAATCATGATTTTGTGCTTGAATGCTTGTCTATTTCTCTTGCATTTTGACTGGCCTAATTTTACCTTTCCTCTAACAGCCCAATTGGTTATAGATTACCATCTGTTGTGACCATAGATCATTCAAAAATGTTATTTAAAGTCTTTTCTGATTTCTTGGAAAACCTTAGAACTGCAATGAATTAAGAATGAAATATTTTCTCTTTTCATTAAAAAATAATAGATCATGATGAAGTTGATTAAATCAAAACCTATTGTGAATAACTTTAAATGAGAGTCAGCATGAGAAAATCACATTAATATATTGTTAGAATTGTTTTGGAACAATAGGTGAGGACAATAACTAGACCTATTGTCAATACTATTTTAACAAGAACCACAACTTTCTTTACCGAAGCGTGAGTTATGAAATATCAGAATAATAATGACATCATACCATTATTATTAAACACTATACATAATGGTCTGATAGGTCTAACTCAATCATGTCTATGAATTCATTTTTCCATTTATATAATTTACTGTCATGTAGACTTTCACACATTCATTTTTGACATCCTAAATGACCCTTATTGACTACTATGGAGGTCTTTTTATACCTCATTTCTTTGCCGAAAATACTCCCCATTTTTATGAAGTCTAGAATACTTAGATTAGTTTTAATTAAATACAATAATAATCCTTGAATTTATACCTAATAGGATTAAGATAAGCTTGTCACATCAATTTTGATTCCAATAAAATTTCACAGTAAGTCTCTAGACATGATTCAGATCCTGTTAATTTCAACTTTGTGATGATTTCTTGCTAAAGAAGAAAGGAAGAAATTTTAGGTAGATGTTGCAAGTATCTATTGTTTAAACATTAAATTGTCAGCTTCAATAGATGTTGATAGGTGTCTGTTGGTTAGAAAACTAGTTCTGGTGCCATATCAATTCTCACCTTTACCTAATACCATTTTCACATTAAAAATATATCTGTAAGAAACAACAGAATGAAAGATATGTGTAACAAGAAGTTGGTATTTAACAATGAAATGATGTAAGAAAGTTGGCAGTTACCATTTGTCAAACATTTGTATCATATTAACATTAGTTTTATATACTTGATGTACCCAAGTTATTTTAACATATTTCCTCTTCGTGTCATAATATACCTCTCTGTTGCACATTATCTTATTGACATGTTGAATATACCAGGTTTATTCCAACAGAAAAAGTTGCATATTTAGAACAGAAACCTTATAGCATACTGTAAACATGTGAGAATTACTTGTACAGAAATACTATAATGTAGAGTTCCTAATAATATTGTTGAATATTTTCCAATTCTGAGTAATTACAAACACATGCCATTGCCTGCCTTGTCTGTCTTGTCTGTTCACATTTACTTGTCAATCTGATTGACTCAATCAGTTTGACCAGACTACTATTAAGTATTCCAGTGAGATATTGGATAAGCCTGATTTTATTATCATTATTTTCATCAATAGGCTCAGTGAATTATTGCCCTTTGACAATAGGTCAAATTGACTTGTCTACTACTTATCCCGAAATTTGATTGGATTAGATGATTATTAGTATGCTTATAAAGTTTATAGAGATGCTGTGAATATTTGAGTTTCCATACATGCTCATATAATACAAAAACCACAATGTTATGAATAACTGCAACCTTTATAATTTAACATATAATAATATCTTATCCATTACATATATGTTGAACCTTATCATGCTAATTTAAACTATAATTCTTTTACACCTCTACACTAAATAAGTTAGAAATCAAACTAAGATAATAATATCCAGATATTTCACCTGTTGATTACACCTGTATATTTTATATTTATTCATTATAACTCTCAGTTTGATATTAGTTGATATCAGCTATATCATATAGACACTCCCTGATGCAATCTGGTATATTTTTGATAAGAGATTTTTTTTTTATTCAAGATCTATTCAACTGTCCAGAATAAAGGTGATTCGTAACCACATCTTGAAGGAAATGACTTAAAGGTTTTTTTTCAACATTAACCTGGGTTTTACTTTAGGCCTGAATGATTTCAGCATTAGGTGGGGTATAGATAGCTATAGCATCTGAATTGTCAACTTTTGCCAAAGAGGCCGAAGTTTTCAAGTATCCTGTCTAAGACAAAAAGAAAAATGTCTTCACTACATGTCCAATCTTGTGCAGAAAGGTAGGACATAAAACTTACATTTTTCATTCTATTTATTTTTATGGTAAATGATAAATAGTAAATGGTACTTTAAAAATTTCTGACTCAGTGACTTTTGTCTGAGTTGTTTATTCCATGGATAGATTATTGAAAGCCTGTAATGGTTTTTTACGATATTTGGAGCTAGGTTGTTTAAAAGAATGGTCTATGGACTTTAAGGAGGATTATTGTGTTTATCAACTGATTGGAAATAATTTAGTGTGTTTGGTGGAATCTATGAAACTCGAATTATTAATTTAAAAAACTATCACTTTCAGAGATTTTTGGATTCTATAAAAGTCTCACAGGCCTTAAGGAATCGTTCAATTCAATGTTGGTTCTGTATTGCAGGCTTTGAACTGATACATTGTAGAAAATATACACAACCTGTTGATGTTCTGACTAAAGTGATAAAAACAAATATATTCACAATGTCATAGACTGTAAACTAGGTTCTTAACCTATAAGATGATGCTTCTCAGATTATTTGTACCTATTAAAAAAAAAAGAAAGAACCATTTTTGAAGTGTTACTACTTAGGTACCAGCTAGTCCTTAGCCAAACTGCTTGGCATTGATATTTCAGCTACTTCAACTGGACTAATGGGAGACTATTTCTTTTTCAAGGTCACCGGACTTTCACACATTGACCTAGATAACCCAAAACCAAGATTTGGTTTAACAGACTGTGTTAAAGCAAATTCTCAGCTTACAGCATGGACAGTCAGATTGAGGAAAGATAACCCATGCAAGGTCATCAGAATGTATTCTCTGTAATTATAACTAGACCCCACTTTCATCATTTTATTTGAGCAGGACAGTGATACTATGTTGTAAACTGAGTCATGCTCATGTCTTTTCTTCTTTCTTGCCATCAGGTTAGGTTGAGCTTATACAATAGATATCAGACAAAATCAAATTAAGAAGGATTACTTTTTTCACTTATCTTAAGAAATGTCACAGACCTTATAAATGGGAAAGAAAATATATGTGGACCATTTTTATCCAATATATTTGTAAGTTAATGAAGCTTTAAAGCATGAATAGAATCAGATTAAAGAAATCAATGGAAATTTCTATTTGAGGATAAAACTGTACAAGTTATATTTAAATGTTCATTAATCTTTATTAGAGATTGATTGTGTGTAATATTGTGATTAATGTGACAAATTGAATAGAATTGATGTCATTTAACACTGTAACAACCATTGCATGTCTTGTAGGAATCACCAGAAATTAACATGGAATGTCAACTATAATTATTTTACATAGATTACGTCTAGAATATATTGAATAATGTTCTGATTGAAATCTATAAAATATAATTGACTGAGGAACAACACGAGTTGATATAACATAACATTAATGCAAGGCTTGTAAAAAGCTTTCAACTAAAATAAATATTGTAAAGAGTGGAATATCTAGAAAATGCCTAAGGCATCTCTCCAAGGTGAGGTCCGAAGTGCCAAAGCCCCTTAAGACTAGGGTCTGTCAGAGGCCCTCCAGTAGCCAACTGATTTTAGATTGCCTGAGATGAATTTTGAACATTTCAAAATAAGACCTATCAAAGGCCTGAGGGCAATAGCTCTCTCCCTAAATACACATCTGATTGTAAATGCTACAACTATCATAGTAGTAATTTTTAAACTTGATTGACACTTTATATCTTCTAGGGACCAGGACAGGATCCATAGAACCGAATAGAAAGTGTAATAGAGCTTGAGGTGTTATCTATTCTAGGGTGAAAATGGATTGAAAATCACATGGTATTATCTTATCTATGCCAGGATCGAACTCCTAAAGTCAAAGCTGAGCCAAATATCATTGTGTTATTTTTGTACATTAAACATTGAATTCTTACAATAGAAGAAATGTCCACAAAAGTTGGTTCAAAAAAGGGTTAATAATCTTTAGTGATAATTTAAAATATTTATCTGGTTGAGTAAGTGTAAGTTAAAATTTGTAGGCTGTAAGTTGTAAGGTAGAGAAATTTGAGATGTTAATGTTTATATTTTCTACTTGAACAATTCACTTCACAATTCTGGTGTTTATGTTGTTAATTTCAAGTTAAAAACAGATGGTTGGGTAAAAGTAGAATTCAGTTGAAAATATACCTATATTACTTATATTATAGTGGGATAGTATCCTTATATATGAATATATGAATTCAGATTAATTAGTGGATATAAATTCAGATTATTAGTGGATATAAATTCAGATTAATTAGTATATATAAATTCAGATTAATTAGTGGATATAAATTCAGGTTAATTAGTGGATGTAATTTCAGATTAATTAGTGGATATAAATTCAGATTAATTAGTGGATATAAATTCACATTATTAGTGGTTATAAATTCAGATTAAT